AAAAAAAATAAATATAATAATAATAATTTAAATGACAGAAAAATAGAATTTTAAAAAGTTTATTTATAATGATTGTAACTGTTACGAGTTTAAAAACATGGGCGTGTGCAGAAAATTTTCCAGAGGAGGCAAAGCATGAAGACAAATAATTACATCAATAAATTTTCGGGGTTTTTTTCACGTGTAACCTATAGAAAACAGAAGACCCATGGTGACCCATGAAAGCAGAAGTGCCCGTGGTCGAGAGTGTAAAGTTACATATAACAATCACATTTATAATTATAATTTGTGGAATTTTTTACACGATTTCAGGGAGGAGGAAGTGCTCTGTTTACCCCCTTCTGAGTACTCCAAATATACAAAAGTATTTTTTTTAATTAATATAAAAACTAAAACAGTGTGGTTGAGATTACGGAATGATCTCAAATTTATACTATAACCACTTACAATTGAAATCTTGTGGACAATTATTGCATTTAGAAAGATGTTTTATTCAATAACATACTTTTTTTCTTTTTATACAATAAGAATTTTGGCCAAATAACTAGTTTGGTCCTCTTCAGTTGTACTATAAACAATTAAAGTACGTAAGAGTTACAATTTATAAATTACTCAAAGGGATATTTATGATAATTACTTACAATTAAACCCCTCTTTGGTTCGCAATAATTGTTATTAGTAACTATCACTCATTATTATTTTTTCTTTATAATAGATTAATAAATTAGAAAAAGATCTTTTATTTATTGTAATAAATTTTTGAAATTCGAAAATTTAATTATGAAATGATAAAATATTCTGATACCGAATAGAGATTATTATAAAAAGAATTTTTTTTTAAGTAAATAATACCTTATATTCCTCTAGCAATGAAGGTAGTAAGAAAAGTACATATACTTAGCCATTAGCAATAATATAAACAAAAAATTTATTAGATAAGAAAACTAAAAAAAATAAATAAATAAATAAAATACACGACTCGTTTGATGTGCTGTAAACGTGAGGAAACTATTTAATTAGTTCTTTCCGTGCACGATCTTAAATCATAGTAAATCATTAAACGGGAAGTGCCTCAACTCTAAATTTTACTTATCAGCACATAAATATTTAAATTAGAATATTGTTTTAAAAAGATATTTAAATGGCTTACCTTTTTCCCTCCTGTTTTATAATATTAATTCTTAGCTTTAATTTTAAACTATATATTAAAATTGACTTACCCGAACGATATAATATATTGTAACCTCTTGTACCAGCAGCAAATGGTGAACTTCCGCTAAGAGCAATGGCAGAATCGGAATCACTGTGATAGCCGGATATATCGCTGCTACTGTAATCATCGTCATCAGCAAATTCTCTCATCAATTCTAAAACATGATCGCAACCTTGAGAAAACCTCATTAATACTGGTGCAACAATGGCATTGCTGTTGACATCCTTCACTTCTTTTCTCAATTGAGTGAATTGAAACAGTACATCTTTATCAAAATCGATTCTCTTTTGTAAAATTCCAAGAAGAATCTCTAAAGAATGATTTGTTAATGTCGGTTCCACCACGTTTAACAGTGTTTTATTTTTAATCAGTCTTTCTTGTATCTCATCCTGTCTCAAGCTCAGTTGTCTTTGATGGCTCGCTTTGATGGGTGCTGGTCCATAGGATATGGATCTAGTAACAGGTTGTTTAGGTGTCAAACTCAGTTCGTCCAATTTTTGGACTGCGATTTTATAACGATGTATCACACGCTCAAATTCAAGTTTCAAAGCTTCGTGTAGATTCATTAATGTATCGTCTGAGGTTCCAACCAGTCCATGTTGTCCCATTCCTTTAATAGCTTTATCTAAAGCTCGCTTTCTTGTATACAGAATTTTCTTCATTTGCGGTTCAGAAAGTATAATTACCTACATAATAACATGAATATTATTTTAAATCACTTATTATGAAATTTTTATTACATCTAATACCTTTACTTCAGCTAAAGATACGGTATTAGTTCTGTTTATGAGGATCTATACTAAGAATAATTAAATTCAAATAGAACTTAACTAATTAAAATTTTAATATGCTATTACAATTCATCTAGCTTTAATTAATATTGATCTATAATTAAACTTATACATAAAATTTTAATATAAATTATAATTTAAAGCATACATCAATTTAAAATTTAGAAAATAATAAAAAGAAAGAAGATTAAATTACATCTGTATTAGATTTCTATAAAGTAATTTATAGTTAATTCTGTTATTTTTTTCAAGGGAAAAAAATATTTTTTTTTTCCTTTTATTTTTATTAAAGAAAGATGGTGTTTGTTTATTGGTAAACATTATTAAATACTTATACTGTAAATAAAAGTTTCTGGTCAATATTAAATCAACAACAGAAAATCCCACTAACGAAGAAAATCTTATCAACACACATTTTACCCTTCAATGATTCTTTATTGTTTTTTAATTAAGATAATTTCAGTGAAGAGATCAATTCTAGCAATTATTATTCCAATTTTACGTAATAATTTTCTACAATTGAATTAATTTTAAAAAAAAAAAGAAAAATTAATGAAATTATTTAAATAGATATCTTAATTTCTACAAAATTTACTCTATATTTTATTTGAAATTTAAATATTTAAAATGATTTTAAAATTAAATTATTTTTGTCATTAAAATTATATAAAATTTTTGTTTTACTATTGACATTTTTAATCAGAAATTAATGTAAAATGTGAATAAAAATTTGTATAAAAATATTATAAGTGTAAATGTCTTTACCACATTTTCAAATGGAAAATATTCATAAATTAATATTTGAAAAAAAAAAACATGTTTATTTTTGTGAAAAATCTTCTTTAAAAATAAAAAAATACCAGGAAAAACATTAACTTCAAAATAAATTTTTTTCTTTCGAAGTTTTTCTGTCGAAACTGTCATCATAAACACATTTACATAATAGTGAAAATTTACTATTATTAGTATTAATAGTAAAAAAAAAAAACTTCAACTATTTTATAAATGTGTTTATGATGGCATTTTCGATGGAAATTTTTCTTCTGGGGGGATAAAATTCAGCTTCTTTAAGTTGCTACTAGGAAAGATATACTTGAAGTTAGTATTTTTTGAATGTTTTAAGGCTATAATTTACAGATATGACATCTTTAATGAATACATTAACCACTAGGATCAGGTATTAGCTTATTGCCAGGAGGATCCGGGTTCGAATCTACAAAAATGTATCTTGTATCGTTTCTCCTTCTTATCCTTGTTTATCGACCCCATTGCGGATCAGCCTGTCCATAATGGGTGTAATTGTAATTATCATGTACACTATATTGTGTTGGTGCCACGCGTTAATTAATCAATCAATAATTATAAAAATAGCCCACTAATGAAGAGTTAAGTTTATACTATGAATACAAATTACATGTATTTAACATAAACATTAATACTGATAATTAAATCTAAAAGATAGCAAAGAGTAGGAGACAGATATGGAAAAGTCGAGATGTTGACAATGATAATTTCTATCATTTCCATCATTATTTACAGAGTATTTTAAACTAGGACATTATAATTACTGTTTAATTATGTAAGTAAAATTTAATGTAGTTAAGAGAGAGAGAGATAATTTATTCATTCTCTGAANTGTACTTCTGCTACCCGTACATGTTTAATGTTTGAACTTGTGCCTCAACCTCTCTAATTACCTTATAAAACTTGCAAAGAAGACTTATTGATTAATTTTTACTTATTTTATTCTGGTGATTTTGCGTGATGAAAAATTATCAAATTAACAGCGAAGATTCTAATCGTCTTTATCTGATTAAAGTGATTTAGTAGAATTGCCAAATTCTAGATTTTTCTTGAAAAATTTCACTAATGAAAAGATGATATCTCTCTACCATCGATGACAGATTTCATTACGAATTTCTTAATGTTAAATTAATTTCTATTAAAATGTATATACATATATATCATTTTTATATAAAATAAAGTTTATATATTTTTAAATTAATAATAAATTAATAAAAGTTTAGACATTATTTGTACGGATATGATTCAGTAACATGCAAGAGAATGTGATTTACTGTTCCACAAGAATACTGCATTTTTAACTTAAGAGGTATGACTTCATGAATACTAAATGTGATTTTTATACGTTTCGATTTACTTTTTCAGTAATAATTTTATTTTAAAAAGTTTCAAAGTAATATTTCGTCGTTTCAAAAATTTAATTTTTTCTTTTTTTTACGATTTTATATTACTCAAAACTAGTGTATAAATTGTTACGCTCTTATTTGAATTTCCACAGATAAGTTGCGAATTTCTATAAATTATACCCGAAAATAGCAACTAATTTTTAATTATTTATATATTTTGTCAAATTCTAAAGAGTTTTTATCATGTTATATTAAGATATAATGATATATTTTTTTTGATTTTTATACTTAAGAAGAAGAATGTATACAACATTCTACGTTCATGTGACATTATAAACGAAGATATTTTTCCCAATTTTTACCCACTTATATGAATTGGTGGATACATCTTAGATAAGAAACTGAATAGTTTCATTCAATTCTAAAAGAAATACTAAATATAGAATCAATTCTTGGATTTTCAATAGAATTCTTGAAGATGAAGTTAGTTTTCAAAGTTTAAAACATATTTAAGCTTATAAAATAGATTTGCAATCATTTCATTTGGAAGAATATTTATAAAAAAATGCTTCCTTATAGAAAAAAAATAATATAATTTATAAATATAATCATATTAATTTTTGATTTTACTAGAGAGATTTGAAAAAGTAAGTTTTAATTTACGATCTTCTTAATGTCGCTTCTACATTATTAATATTAACAAACTTATATAATATGATAATCAATATATCTTTTAACAAATATTCTATTAACAAAGTTATAATTACTGAGTAAAAATTATTAACTCATTATATCGTTGATCTCTTCATCCTTTAATCTGAATCTTGTATAGAACTCTAATGAAAATCAACTTTAATTATCAGAAAGTTCAACTTTCTATCGACTATTTGCCGATTAGATAAACAGATTAATTTACGTAGAAAGAATTTAAATAAATAACACCGTGTAAAGAGTTTACTAGAGATTATTTTAACCCGAATAAAATCAAATTTTTATTTTTTTTTTCTGAAAATATTTAATCTTTTACTAAAGTTTCGCTTGAAAGTATTGGCAAAGTAACCGAAAACAAACCCATATTTTTTTTATTCTTTTATATTTTATCATTATGAAAAAATTCTTCATGAAAAAAAACTTTCTTAAAATATCTTTCTACACAATTTTCTGGTCATTTCCCTGAGGTTTTGGTGGAAAAATATATATAGTTATCAACCTACGCACTTGGAACGAGGAACAAAAAAACTATCGAAGCTTTGCATATTCCATCAAATGTAAAACTTATTTTTCACGATATATTCAAGATTCGAAGTCTTTTGAATATTCTCGAGAAGTTTATTTATATTTCATTTTAAGTTTACGAAAGGCGTTAACTGAAAATTCGAAAATTCTTAAAAGGAACTTCGTGCTTGAGGATAACTAATATACAAGGATTTTTATGAAAAAAAAAAAGAAAAAAAATCCGCATTGATATACTGTAATTCACAAATAAAACTAATTCTTTGAAGAATAACTTGTTATTATTTGACTTTTTAAAATGCATTTTGATCACATTAAGGCAGTAAATTCGTATCATCGGATTAAAGACTTAAAGAACGTAATCTCTTTTATTCAATTTAGTAATAAACAATTACATTTTACTGATGGATTTATGATTAGAGAATTATTTTAAAAAATTACATTTATGTTTTATNAATGGGCCGAAACTTATGATTTTGTATAAGTAATCAATGGTGTAAGCTCGACTAGAATTACGAATAATTTCAATTGACTTCATTTACTAGACTTTTATTTCCTCGATAATTATTTAACAGATTCTAATTTTGCATTCATGTCTTCTAATTTAAAATTTATTGCTCCCATAAAAGAAGAATTATCTGTCTGTAGAATTCTTGGCATACCGAAGGCAGACACAACTAAAACAATTATTTCTGATAAATTGATTGTAATAGGAAGTAGGGTAATTTCATTTATTAAAAAAATATATATATACATATATATTTCTTAAAGTTTATACAGAGCCAACGTGTAATATTTTGTACAATTTTTTTTTTTTAATAATTTTTCCCCCCATAAAATATTCTTTAAATTATTTATTTTTACTTACATTTTTAAATAAATTTTAAAGATTTTAACTCATTATACTTTTGTTTTCGTATCATTATTATTGATAAACAAATAATAATTAAAATTCTGAAGATGTACGGTACGTGTACAGTTGATGTACTGTACATTTATGCATCGAAATTAGTCTGCCTTCCAGTTATTTGGTTAAATTTTTAAATATTTAAGTTAAAAATATACGTTAAAACTTTGATATAGCACCACTATTTGACTGCGAAATTGGCGCTAAATCGAAGTAACTGAAGGAATAAGAATTCAAAGGCTGAAGCATTCTCTATTTTAATTAATATTTAAAGGGAATGTCCGTTCGGAAGTATTCTTTAGCGCTCTATGAGGGTGGCACTATACAGAAGGGCGTTATATCGAGATTTGATCCGTATTTAAATTATGCATTTCTTATTATTTATTAAGAAATTCGTATTAAAAATACGTTATAAAGCTCTACTTTTTAAAATTTAAGAGAAATATAAAATATTTATACATTGAGTCACTATATCTTTAAAGTTAAATTATTAAAGAACACGGTATATAAATTCTTTATTGTTCCTTGTATTTAGGTTAAGTTATATAAGGAAGAGCATTACGTTTAACATACGTATGATGGTAGAATTAAAATTAATTTACTGTATGGAATAATGTTAAGTTAACATTAATTTCACCGTTTGACTATTTAAGTTCGGGTTCAAATCCTGATCACGTAATTTTCAGCTTAACTGATTGTTCTCAGCTACGATACTAATGAAACATATTCAAGCAAATTGTATTCAAGCAAGCATAAATAAGACTGTATCAGGGTGATAATCACCAAAGAGAGTATAATGATGTATCGAAGGAATGTTGTCTAAACTTCTCTTCCATAGTATAAACGTTGTAAGACATTAAATCAGATACTTTAACACATGCCATGATTTAAAATCGTTTCATTATGCGATATTTTCGGAATTTTTTCTCAAAATTTCTTACTAAAATAATTTCAGATTTATAATTCGAACTAGTTTTGAATTAATAACATAAATATGTTCTTTAGATTCATGGTAAGATTTGCGCTTGTTAGGGTTTTCCATATATTAAAAGCTAAACTGTAATGTATGGAAGGGCCTATCGACAAATAATAATGGGCCCTAAAAAGTAGCCAATTTTAGCTATATAAAACCTGCTCAACATAGATAAAGAGTTAAAACATTATTCTAACTCTAACAAAAACAATTCTAATTATGCAGAAGAGTATTAGAAGCACTTTAAAAAATTTAATAAAGAAGAATTCAATAAAATTATCTGTAAAAATCATTTTATAATAGTATATAATGGAGCAAGGCCCATCATAGTAGGACCTTAAACTATCCATTTATATGAAAATCTTGCTAAGCATAGATGAAAATAATGGAAACTGAATTCTTTATTTATGTAATAATATAAAATTATTTGAATTCTACAGAATTATCAAAAGATGGAGTTAGAAAAACTTGAAAAACATCTTAAATAAAACTAACTGCAATAATCCCTTATATCATTTTATAATGATATATAGATTTATCTTTTAGTCTGTATGATCATGATACTGATACTAGCCATAAGTATCTATCTCTGATTTACAGCTATCAAATGATATCGTATATATGTCAATAAACAATACATAAAGCACACACATATATATGATACGTGATAGTATTGACAGTTTAGATGAATGTTGAAAGTTTTTCTTGAGATCAACAAAGAGATGATTGATATAAAAATGAAAACAAATCAATTTATTCAAATTAAAATAGGTTATGTAATATATTTTTTTTCCAGCTAGGACTTTCAAGAGTTAAAAATTATTTATAAGAAAGATTAAATATTCAAGAAGGAATAACTTTATTTAAATATTTGAGTAAATCGATCGTTTTGTAATGTATGGAACTATCCATTATATATAACACCTTTTGTTCCCTTATAGAAAATTCTCTTATAAAAAAAAATTATAGAAAAACTATTGAAAGAACAATCTTAATAGTTTTTCTATTTAAAAATATTATAATTTATAACCTAATTATAATATTTTTATAATTATATAAACTGATCAATTATGAATTATTTACTAAAATNTGACTCTTACCCGAGCTTCTCGAGTAAGAGCAGGCCAATATATAAACTTCATAAGGACAATTTCGTTTCGATTGTGTCAATGATAATCCAAAAATTCCACGAAACTATTTCTATAAAATTGTTTTACCTTTTTTCTATTATTTGTATGAGCTGTAAAAGATCAAAGTGTTTTATCTCTCTCTATAGGAACATTACGTTTTCCAGATGACCATTTTCGACATGTATATTGAATGAGAAAAATGAACAATTCTTATTTAGAAAAATCATCTTAACTCTGGCTTATTCCCAAATCAGAAGTAGAGCAGATATATTTTTGTAGACAAGCAAATTTCTCTACCAAAAATCACCAATAAACAATCATTTTAATGTTTTTTTTTTAAATAAAATTTTATTATTTTAAATATCTAATTTTTTTAAACTTAAATAAATAAAACTTGGGTATTTATTTTATCAATTCTTCATGGAATAATTGTAATAACCTGTGTAAACTGGACTCGAATACTTTTCCCGTTTAGACAGGTTCCGTTTTGAACAGGTTTTACTGTATATTTGGCTATAAAGTAACTATGCTCCTCGAATTTCATATCATTCCCCTGTTTTTTAAGTAGCTAGTTATTACAAAATCAGGATATAGATAAGAAGGAAATTTCGATCTTGTAAAACTTTATTTTGTATGACGACTTTTTTTTTTCATAAAGCTGCTTGTTAAACTGAAACATGTGTAAAAGACAGCATCTCAAAGACTATTGGGGAATATCCAGTATGTTCATCAACCTGAAAGTTTGTCAAATGTTATGGGTCAGTGACTCTTACATGAGAATTACTTTCTTACTACAAGTTTTATAAGAGCTAAAGAATGGAGAAGAAAAGCAATTTCGTTACTTTATCTGATTTGAAGGTAAATACAGTATAACAAAAACAGATTAATTAATACAGAATGTTAACTATCCTCTAATAAATCTATTAAATTCCTTCTTACATTTAGAAGCAAATATTTCTAAATTTAATTGTTTTTTTTTAATGTTTAAAAAATGATTTAAGTAACACACTTTAACTTTTGTCATATATAAAACGAGTAAAAATCTACAGATATTTTTGTTCTATATGCCATTTTAGTAAGGGATTACTTAGTTTCAATCATAGGAAATTATGTCGATGACATTAAGTTCTTTGTTAAAACATTTTTGACAGTAGTTACATTAATGTTTATTTTTGTCATATGCTATAAACTGCATTGATTGTATCGGACGTTTTTGCTATTGTAGCAGATCAATGTACTGATGCAAGGAAAGATTGATTGTTAGAAAAGTATTGTCATATATTATAAAAAAAGAATGATTCATTCTTATAAAATTGAGGAACACCTGAAAGAGGAACAGCTTAAACAATGTTTTATTTTATTTTATTTTTTTTACTCTACACTTCTTTATTTTGAGTTTTATATCTGTTAAATATTAACTTTAAATAATAATAATAAACAATGAAATTGTGAATATGGCATTCGTCAAATGTATATAAAAATTCTATAATAAATTGTGGAATTAAAGTTTGGATCTTTTTATTCTTTAAAATGTCAACTTTAATTTCAGTTTTGCAATTTGTTATTCAATTTTTATACATTTTTCTTTGAAAATAACGTTTAAAAAAATGTTAAAAAATTCAAATAAACTTATTAAAACGTATATAAAATGTACAAAAACAATATTTTATATTCAGTTTAATTATATTTACAAAATTTAACTAAACACATTTACTTTATCAACATACTAATTAATTAATTTTTATTTAATGAAACTATANATATTTAAACATTATAAGCTTAGCTGGAAGATTTTACTGTACATAAACTTAAAATAAATACTACAGCTGCGGGTTTGAGTCTATACCCTATCCGTATAACTTATTTATGTTATAGATTATACATTTTTTACTAAAAAATGGCATTCAATAACATTAAGAAGAACTTACCTTTAATAATTTCTTACACGATGCTACAAATGGATGACTATGATCCAATTTTTCTCGAAGACATTTCGCTGATTCATCTTGCTGTGCAAACAATCGCACCATCTGCATCACAACACCATCCGGTCTCAATAGTTTAATAGAAAAGTTAAGTCCATCAGAAAGGAAAACTTTAGCATACAATGCTTCCAGTATAGGAAGGCTGTGAGGGATGGCCTCCACGAAGACATCAATTGGTAACTCGCCAAGAATGGCTTTAAAAGTTGCATAATTCAACCTATTGATGAAATTGGCAGCCTCCCGATACTGTACATTTTCGTACAAGAGAAGTACACGTCGTATAGCCACACCTGGGCTAACATCTGCAATGGTCATGCTGCTGACTCGACTATCACAATCATCAGAAAATCCCTTCACCCAGTTTGATGTTTGCCAAGTAAGTTTCTGCACATTTCTACGATGAGAACGTTCTGGACGTATACGTGATCCACGTTCAATAACCGAACACCCACCTCGCCTGTATGTCCACGCTGTATGCATTGCTGCTCTATCCATGAGTGGAGGTGGCACGTGGAGCATGGCAAAAAGTTCCTAAAGCGCGGTATCCTTCTGTCTTGGCTGCATAGATTCCAGCCCAGATATAGAGGGATAAATTTATTTTTAAATTATTTTATAAACATTGCAGTTCATTATATATTTTATATAAAGGAAAATAAATGAAAAGTCAAATTATAAAACTTGATTCGAAATAATTAAGTTGAAAAATAGATGAAATTTATATGTAAGTGTGATTTTAAGATGTTGGACCAATTGTTAAGCATTTTATTTACATGTTCTATTACAAACAGAAATAAGAATATTGCACTCACGAGATTTCTGATTGAGGGCAAGTTACTTTTCCAATGGTAATGTTATGAGGTCGTGTCGATCTATTAGTCTCATGTCACTCTGGCAATCTTTCCTTGAAACTTATTTTTAGTTTCGTCTAACACAAAACTTAGATAAATAATTAATATTTTAATTAATCTAACTATCAAATTTACCATACGAATCGATTTAAATTTAAAATTACCTTTATATACAGAGATTGAAAAAGTAGGTATACAATTTTTATTGTGAAAAAAAACATTAATTCTTATTCGTAAAGGAATACAAAATAAGGAATACAAGGAACAATAAGGAATAATAAAGAATACAAGGAATAATAAGGAATACAAGGAATAATAAGGAATACAAGGAATAATTAGGAATACAAAATAATAATAATGAACTCTGCATCAAACATCTGAATTTCTTAGTTTTACAACTGTATACCTACTTTTACATTCCTGTATATAAACAGTAAGATAAATGATTTTTCTAGGTTATAAATATATTATAAAACATTAAAATTTTATGCTTTAAATTGTATTTTTGTTTTTACAAATTTTCGATAAAATATGCGGTTTTAAAATAGAATTCATTACTCACAAATTTAGAATTGTCATTGATGGTAATTTATAAACTGGTGGGTTTCGGTGGTCATTAAACACCTTCATGTGTTCTGACACCATTGATTAATCTGGTTTCTGCGCTATTTACAACGTTAGAAGCGGATTTAGTTGGCGAACGGATTTATTTAGTTTGGTAATGAAAAATCTGAGAGCGATTTGAAATATTCTAATAAAATTTATCGAGTTTTTTTTTTCAACACCCAGACACACAGAAGCTTCCTTTAAGTCACCGTATTCGATTTTTAATAAAATTAGTTTAACATCTATAACTAATGTATAGCATTCTTTTAATGATTAAAATTATTTAAAGTAAAAACAAATAATATAATTAAAAATAGAAGATACTTCTTTTTAATTAAAATTAAAGTAATGCGGATCTTTTTAAAATGTTTCCTTTTTTTTCTGATGAATTAAATTTTAATTTCCGGAAAAAACACTTTGCGTAAACAGTAATTAAGGTTATTATTTCTATAAATGGAAACGTTTTCTCGATTTTTTTTTCAATATTAAAATTCGATGATTCTTAATTGAAATAAATGACGAATTCATTATTTAATAATATTTATTTTTATAAAAATGAAAATTATTTGATATTTTTTTAAACTGTAAATTCATTTATCTATCTTTATTATTTAAATATTTATGTAAAATAATATACTAGACTTATTATAAATTATATGTTTATTTTATTATAATGTAACTGTTATGTTTCCTTTACATATATTTTAAAGTATTATAATTTAATAAATTATAAGAACAATGCTTAAAATTAATATAGATATATTATTATTATTTAAAAACATATTTAAACATTATAAGCTTAGCTGGAAGATTTTACTGTACATAAACTTAAAATAAATACTACAGCTGCGGGTTTGAGTCTATACCCTATCCGTATAACTTATTTATGTTATAGATTATACATTTTTTACTAAAAAATGGCATTCAATAACATTAAGAAGAACTTACCTTTAATAATTTCTTACACGATGCTACAAATGGATGACTATGATCCAATTTTTCTCGAAGACATTTCGCTGATTCATCTTGCTGTGCAAACAATCGCACCATCTGCATCACAACACCATCCGGTCTCAATAGTTNCCTCGAGATTTTTATCTATAAAAATGGCATGCTCTTTATATCTTCAGCTTTTTATAAGTATTTACTAGAAGATATCAATAGACAAGATATGGGCAAATACACAAAAGAAAGAATAAAACAAAACTGTGATACAAGTGAATTGAGCTTTACAGGTTGCAGTTGGTGAAGCGATTTTTATAGTAGTATGCACCCATCCTCGTCGATCGTGAAGAATTTACATTGGCAAAAAAAAGGGCATTGCATACTCTACCAAGGAATGTTTCTTCGTGTTTCTTTGTCTTTCCCTGTTTCTACGTTTTCCATTGCTGTGTCTTTACTGTTTCCACTCTCGATGAAATTGGAAAAATAAACACAGCCAAGTAAACAGCTCTTTACAAAAGAAATCTACTACTGCCTTAGGGAAACTAAACTTAATCTGAAGACGAGAAGATGTAAATAATGTTTACGAAAAGTCAAGTTTTCTTAATAAACTATCCACGGAAAACCTTTTCAAAATGATTATTAATTAACGTATTAATAATTTTAAAAAAAATAATAATAACTATATTTAATTTTAGATATTCTTGTTTAAGAATAATTTTTAAAAATTCCTTTAAAAATTAAAAATAAATAAATAAATAAATACTACATCGAAACTTCGATTTATCGCTACCAAATCGTCTGAAACTATCACTAAATCGAAGTTTGACTCTATGCTGAAATGCAGTAAAACTTGTGTAAAACGGAATCGCACACGGAACTGAATATATTTTATCCGGTTTAACAAGTTTCCGTCTTAGACAGGTTTTTTTTCAAACGTGAAAAAAAAATCACTCGGTTTAGAAGAATGTTTTTTTCTCTCTTTAGACAAGTTTTTTTTGCTTTATTCATATTCCGTTTTAGACAGGTTTCACTATATTAATAAGATTTATACCGTACATTTATATGTAATGAGATCGTTTCACAGGTTTTATTTTGGAATTCTTTAAGTCACGTAATTTAGTGATTAAAATGTCGTTTTATGCGGGTTGCGCTATTTCGAATGGCGTTATATTGAGGTTTAATTGTAATAAGTTTTAAAAAACAAAAATACGAACGTTGTTTGTTTTTTTTATTCATTTATTTTTTCTCCTCGAATTAAAGTATGATAATTTTTTAAAATAAAATATTTTAATGAATTCTATTTAACGAAAATCCATAATTATTTTTAGTAACATACTTCATTAAAAGTTTGATTTTTGTTTTATAATAAAAATGATGAAAAGGAAATTTTGAATTTTAAAATAAGCTCATTTACATTTTCGAATGAAGTGGATGAACTTTTAAATAAATATAAAAGTGTTTGTTGGGTGCATGAAAAATTTAAGAAGAGAAAGAAAAATCTTTCTTTCATCTGAAATATATTTTTGTTTCTTTGGTTAAAAATAAAATATAATAAAAAATAATAATAATAAAAACTCGTTTTAACGAATACTTGTACAACAGTTTATGATACAATAATAATTATAAATTTAATTAATTTATTAATTACAGTAAAACCTGTCTAAAACGGAAAATTAAAAAATATTCGGTTTTATAGAGGTTTTACTGTATTTTAATAATTAATTTAATGTAAAAGACGAGTATTATTATTATTATTATTAATTTAATTAATTAATTATAAAGGTTATTTTCTATAGAAAAATAAATAATATATATTAAAAGTTAAACAAATTATATACAGTAAAACCTGTGTAAACCGGAATCTCATCCTATCGAATATTATTTTTTTTCCCCGTTTGGCATGTCTCCGCTTTATACAGGTTGTTTTTTTAATATAGAAAATCGCTCCTTTCCGAAGATTTTTTCCGCTTAGCCAGGTTTTTTTTAAACGGGTTCAGGTCTTCGGAACTCAGAGATTTTTCTGTGTTTAAAGAAAAACCTGTTCAAAACGGACACCTGCCAAAACCGGAAAGAATATTCGCTATCGTGCTAGTCCGCTTTACACAGGTTTTATTGTACGTATATATAATCCACTCTTAGATTTAAGTAAAAAGTTTTATATTAAATGTTTTCCTTCGAAAAAATTTAATATAAAAGAAAAATAATTAATTGTTTTTAAGTATAATTATTACAATAAATTACAGTAAACAATTTTTTAATGTTATTTGCCTTAAAACAGATTTAATCTGTTAAACTTACGTAACTTGTGTACGTTTATTTATTATTTTAATCACATTTTCAACGTTTACTTTTAAGTTTAAAATATTTTCTTAATTAAAATATTTCTTGACAGATTTTATTAAAAATTCTGAAGGATATATTTAGCCGAAAATATCTAACTAAAGGTATTCGTTTAATTCATTTTTCTGGCTTTCAAATAATTTTTATAGGCCTAAATTAACTGTTAAGTAACACAATAGATCTATGTCATTGTTACACGTTGATAATAAGAATACAAAAATATCATTCTCTCTTCACTAAATTTATCATAATGTCTATTGTTTGCAGATAATGCTAAGTTTTCGTAAATTATCTAATTTTATTTTTTACTGTTTTTGGATATTTTACGCTATTATACAGTAAAACCTGCGTAAGCCGGACTCTCACGTTACCGAATATATTCTCCTCTCTTGACAGGTTTTTAAAACTTAGAAAATCGTTCCGTTTAGACAGGTTTCCGTCTCATTCAGGTTCCGTTTCGGACAGGTTTTACTGTATAAAAACTTTATATTTTCACCGAAATCATTGAAAAATGAGAAAAAAATAAGCAAGTATAGGCTGAAATTTTTAACATTACAGGACTTATATCTGTTATCTTTGATGGTTTTATAATCATTTAAATAATTTTGCTAAAGTAAAATTTTATAGGTACTAAAACCGATTTTAAGATCCTGTATTGTAAAGTATATAGATTTGAGCAATAAATTTTTTTTTTGCCCTTCCATAAATTACCATGTAGAAAATCAAAGAAGTAATTATTGATTCCTATAAAGTTTACTAGTTTTCCAAGTGGAAAGGTTGAAGCTCCATAACCATTTACTATGAAGATTTCCACTTAAGAAACCAAGACAATCCGGTACATT